TTATCCTAAGAAAGGCTGCTTGCTGACGGCAGGAATGCTCTGGGGGCACGAGATTTGCCTGGGGCTCTGGAGACTGGGGTAGGCGCCAGGCTGGTGCTGGGGTGGCCTCTGTAGTAACATGCAGCAGACTCCCCCCCCATCCGGTCTCCTTCTCTCTCGGGAGATTAACATTATTGACCTCTCTAGCTATTATCTCACTTAATCTGTACAATAGTTTAGGCAGGAGGTTTTAACATCCCACTCTTCAGATGAGGNCGTCTCCTCTCTCGGGAGATTAACATTATTGACCTCTCTAGCTATTATCTCACTTAATCTGTACAATAGTTTAGGCAGGAGGTTTTAACATCCCACTCTTCAGATGAGGAAACTGAGGCTTATGGAGGCGAAGAGCTGGAATCTGAACCCAAACCCAACTGACCGCAAACCCGACTCACTTTCCCCCACACTATTCCGATCTTGTCAGTAGTATCATCCCTGCTTTATAAACGAGGAAACAAGCTCAGAGAGGTGGCGTCACTTACCTGAGGTCACACAGCAAGTGCTTGGCAGCAGTGGGGTTGCAGCCCAAGCCTGCCCGATTTCAGAGGCTCTGGTACAACCTTTCATCCTGGCTCAGCCTGAACTGGGAGGAGAGCACAGGGTGTGAAATCAGGGGAATCTTTTGTTCTCTGTTCCCCAGTCCCCAACCCATCGCCCACTCCTAGTTTTGTGGGTCTGGCAGATGGAGAAACAAAGAGGGCCTTTCCGCCTTTTCTGCCCCTTCCTCCCATGGGGGCCCTGACTCTGCAGTACTGGGGTGAACCCTGAGTCAAACATTAGAAGATTGGGTCAAGTCCTTGCGCCACCCTCTTGACCTTGGGCAAGTCACTCATTTGTAAAGCGGGCTGATGGGCTGGTTCCCTGCTGGCTTTTCCGGGGGAGCTGGGAAAAGAATCGAGGGATGTGAAGGCCCAGAAGAGGCTGAGACCAGCCCAGGGTAGGGGGCCACCAGGGGGCAGTATGAGTGTCATGGCTGTGCTGTTTCCCGCCTGCTGTGGCCTGGCCTCTACCCCTAGCTTTCCTGCAGCCTCTGTACAGTGCAGACCTCTCTCCAGGCCCAATGGCATTGGCTGCCCTGGGTGGCTGGCCGGGCCTGTTGGACCACATTTCTCACAGTTTTCCTGCCCTCCACCCTCCACCCTCCACCCCTCTGCCTCCCACCCCATTCCCTAAGGGGGAGATACCAGAGAGGATAACCCAGCTGTCTTTGTGACAAAAACCAAAAGTAAATAAAGGCATATTTACTGAGTACCTGTAACTCGCCAGGCACTTGAAGTATTTAATCCTTGCAGCCACCCTGAGAATTGCCCCGTTGAGTTTTGATGAAAGCAAGGCTTCGGAGGGGCCCACCGCTGAGGGACATGGAGCTGGAAAGGGGGCAGGGTGGAGGGGTGGGGGATCCAGGATTCCAGCTCTGGGCTGTCTCACTCCGTGGGAAGCCAGACCCTTTCCTCCCTCCCATTCTGCACACCCCACTGACCTGCATGTCCTTCGGGTGGCCCGGGTCTGTGGCTGGCTGGCTGTCTGTCCAGGAAGCAGAAGCCAGGATTAACAACTTGGGCTGGGCTGGCTGCCTCTTCCTCCAGGCTGCTCAGGATTTTTCAGTCCCCAGAAGAAATGAAGACTCTGGGAACAGCTTTGCTCCTGGGGCCCCATTATCCTAACCCCATCCTAGCCTGTGAGCACCAGGTGGGCCTGAAGGAGGCTGCCTGCTGGGCAGTGGGCAGAGGACCTTCATCTGGGCCTTTGCAGGTCAGGGACTGCGTGGACAGCTTCCCATGTGGGCAGGAAGGACCCTGCACTTCCAGCGGGCTCTATCAGCAACCAGCCTGTGCCATCAGTAATCAGCCTGTGATCTCAGTCAGGTCTCATCATCTCTCTGAGCCTCAGTGTCTTGGTCTATAAAATGGGACCGTATCCTCACCTCACTGGGATGAATGATTCACTGTGAGCTGGTCTTGACGGGGGAAGCTCTGGCTGGGACCTGTTGCATAATTTGCAGGACCCAGTGCAAACGTGAAAACGTGGGGGTCCCCATTCACAGGTGATTCAGCATTTCAAGGCAGAGGTAGGAGAGCAGACACGAGGCACCGGGCTGTTGGAAGTGGCGGGCTTGTCCGTGCACAGGTGGCCCGAAGGCAGCCCTGGCCCTGCGGTTAGGAGCACAAGGCGCACCCTCTGGGGCTTGGGGCCGCTGCCCACCCGTGGGCTCCGGGCGTGGTCTGGAGTCTTGGGCGGCAGGGCTCGCGGCGTATTGGGCGGGGCGCCTGCGCCATCTAGCGGCTCAGTGGCGAGCAGCAGCCCCGCTCACACCCAGCCGGAGCAGCCTGGTGCCTCAGTCACCCAGCTTGGGCACGGGGGTGCTTCAGAGGCACACCTGCCGCATCCGTGTTAACCCTTCGTCTCCCATCAGTTACCACCATAGCCCGTCTTTCTCCATATCTCCCCAAGCATTTACCTGTTCCGTGTCAGCAATATCATTGAAGGGCTGTGGCCCCTTGGACTGGGCAGGCAGTGGGGGGGTCAGATGGTTACTCTTAGCTCCCAACCTCCGGCCACAAAAATCTTTGCCCCACTTCAGGTGTTCCCATGCAGAAAACACCACCTGAATGTGGTTCAGGGGAGGGAGAGGTGGATCAGGACTGGGGTTTCTATTTCTAGCTTCCATCAGTGTGGACAAGGGGCCTTGAGTGGGCTTTGGGACAAGAGCGGGGGGTGGGGGACTGGAGTTGGCAGGCTTCCTGG